TCAATGGAAGATACTGATTAACATAGACTAAGACAAAATACTGAAAAGAAGTGATAAATCTGAAAATCTCTAGACTTCAGCAAGATCAGTCCCATCCCTTAAAGGATTAACTTCAAGCTTTGTTTTTTAAACAATGGAAAACTTGAGATACTAATAAGGTGGGTACAGAAGCTAGAGTGCAAAGGCACCTGAAAGACAGACAGGGGATCTTGCTCCATCACTGCTGGAAAAAGAGGCAATTCCTGTCTGAACCTAATGAATCTTTTGAAGCTACAAGAAAGACTACCTGCAGATAAAAATATGGGCCACTAAGGAGGATTAGGCTGAGATGTTAATGCAGGTGGGGTTTTGTTTTAAAATGCTGGCCTATCAAAACACTACTATTTTACACATAATACAGTCTTATTTATTTTGGGAGAACACCCAAGCTTAATTTCAGCTTTCTTTTTTCAAGCTACAAAATAAGGCTCCACTATCACAGCTTAGGAATGCCAGATTTTTGAGTTAGTGCTGCTTCACAAAAATTTTTAAAGCATTCATGCACTGCTGAAATTAGGCCAGTGATATCAAAAGGAAGAAAGACTTAATTATTAATAAGCATAGGCAACAGCTCTGTAAACTCAATTAGCTTTTTGGTAGCTTTGCTCTATTACCGGAATCATATTTTAAGCAGTAATTTCTTCTTTCAAAAGTACAACACACTGTGTACTTAATAAGAAATAGACATTGTCCTCTCAAAACTTAAAACTTCCTGTTATCACGAGAAACGAGTTGGGCTTACCTTATCAGCACACATTGCCACTTTAATATCTTGTTTCGTAATCTCATAATGTCTTATATTCCGCACATAATTCCCAACCAATTTTAAGATGTCTGCAGAAATGTATTCTAACACCGCCACTATGTAAACAGACACTTGGTGGTCAATTTTGTAGCCTAGAACTTCCTGAAAGGAAAAAAGTAAGCATTCCACTGTTAGTCAGTCTATGAAATACATGCCACAGGTTACCACTAAAACCATTAAACTTAAGACCCTAATCAATAAACATTCAGCACATACCCAGTCTATTGTAGTAAAAGAAACACAGTAGTCTGCAGGCCTAGAGAAGATGCTGCTTTGTTAACTGTGGAAGTGACAACAGTCAATGACTGGCCCAAAAACCTCAGTTACACATTTAGGGCTAATTCTAGAAATTTCTTGAGCGTTTTCTTAGTCATGCAAAATGAAACAAGAACAATCAAATTCATAGCAAATGACTTATTGGGCTTTGTTTGTCCAACAGAGAATTAACACATTTTTAAGTGAAAACGAAATATATGCAATTAACCAAACTGGAACACAAAATAAAACTAGATAACAAACACGGATATTATTTTTCGTTTACATTTCAGGTAGCATACAGACATTACATGAAATAAAAGTGTCAACATCTAACTGCATTCTAAAAGCAAGACTACATCATTGCTCACCTTTAATAAGGGATGGATTTTTTCTACTGGGAGAGATAACGGATTTCTTCGTTTCCTCTTCTCAATAGCAGACTGGGCATCAGCTATTGCCCACTTATCAATAGGATGGGGAAAACTTTTTTGAACACGATCCTTTAAAAAAATCAGGAGTAAAGGGTAAACACACAATCTGAATGAGCTTTGTAATGTTACTACACTATCAAATCGTTTTCCTTACTTAACAAAGGAATGTTTGTTAATGTTAGTATTTCAACTATAAAAGCTTGCGCAACATGTAAATTTTACCATTTTGGTATACGCTGCTTGCTAGGTTCATAAAGCTGTTCCAGAGTATCATTATCACAGAATAATCTAGTGCCCAAAATTTGAGAAATGCCAGAATTAAGTTGCCATCGCAGGCACAACCTTCACCCCTTGTGCACGTGCCTGGTAATTCAGCATTGAAATACATGACTACTTTTTATCCTAGCACTTTATTCCCTGTACAGAATGGTCTCTGAATGAGACGATACTAGTTTTCTGTTTCACCTGTACTGATCAGCACACAGTCCAGACTGTATACATGCAAACTGTTCTGACGATGGCAATGAACATAACAAGTAAAGAACGTCCAACAGCATCCACATATTTTAAATCAGTTCAATAGTCTACAGTCGGACCATATATGCCACAGTTTATTTACTCATTCCAGCAGTCAGGGTGCCTGAGGACATCTACGCTCTCCCATGTATCAAACAACTTTCCTGCTGGAACTCACACACAGGTCTCTGGAGGTTCAAGTTTCACCATTTTTGGTAGTCCTGGTGTTCAGAGATGCCAGAAATCTAATTTCTCAGACAACTCCACTTTTTTTTTCAGACCACAGTTCCCACTGACTGTTTCACTTGCAAGTGCTCACTTACGTAAACATGACCCCCGTTTGAGCAACCACGAAAGAGGAAGATGAAGTTAATGACCACTTACAAAGAACTGGTACAGGACAAGGTACACAAACAAAAGCTTTCTGACAAAAAACTTAAAAAGAATGCAATTCTATAAAGGTAGCACCCAGCTCTCTAAAGTATAAGCTTTTCTTTTTCTCCCCTCACATAACACTTCTGCAAAAGGAAAACAGAGGTCCTACCAAGAAAAAAAGTCTCATTCACTATCTAATACCAATTCACTCCCCTAGCACAGTCCAGCCTGGCAACTGAATAATGAAGGTGTCCTGGGGAAAAAATAAATGTGTATTACCATATAATTAAAGACAGCATCATCATGCATAAACACAAAGGTTGCCTGATCATCTCCAATTCTTGCATTTCTCATCTTGACTTCATAGTCGTAAGGCTTGTAATGCAACACTGTGTGTCAAGTTTGTTGCTAGCATTGCTTAAAACACAGCATTAAACAATACTCCACAAACCTCTCGTCTCTTGAGCTGCAAGACCAGAATGATGTCACAAAACAGGCCAGCCACTAAATGGGACACTGGAACACCATTAGATGTGTCAGTGTTCAAAAGAGAAAAGGAAGGACGAAATTCATGAACATTGAGCTCAGCTACTTTTTTTTTTTTGAAGGGGTTTTTGGGTACGTTTTTCTTTCCCCATTAGCCCACTTTCTTCAGAACATGAGGAAGTTGCACGCTGTTTTGTTACCTAACCTGGCACAGGCACAGACCCTGAGTACTGGAAACCAACAGGCACACTGCACACAGAGCCTATAGCTTGGAACCGAATCTTCAAATCACGGTTAAGCACAAAGGGCTACCAAGATATTCACGGGCTTAGAAGATTAACTTACTTAAATAATTTGTTTCTCAGATGGAGAAACTCTTCTCAGATCAAGCCCTTTTCTCAAACATCAAGAGCTTTTCTGAGCAACAGAGGTCGTAGATCTTTGAGAAGGCAATTGTTAAGAGAATAGGTTTCTATACAGAGGAAAGAAGTGTTCCTCAACTCTTTCTGAGAAAGTGACTGAACTATTTTTGTTCAAATTTCCAGGAGAGCAGGGGGTATATCAGCCTAAGTCACCATGCTAAGAAGGCAGCACAGCCTCAGACTAAGCAGCTACAGTTTGCATGCAATATCAGTGGGAAAAACAGGTCGTTTGAAAGGAACCAGTCAGCCTTATGTACACAAGTTACACTCACCATCTATTACACAGTAATACAGTTCAGAAATAGTTTTACTGTGCATTGAACAGCAAATTCAATTGACAGGAAAATCAGCTATTAGGTAACTCAGCAGGCTTTGTGTGAAAGGCTCTGCTACATAAAGATATAAAATGACTGCTTTCATTTTTACACTGTGAAATGCTTGATATATTAATTTTTCATGTAACAGTTCAAATTATTACAGATTTGTAATAATTATTCTCTATACCTCTACATCCAGAAAACTTCTCGGTTGGGCTTGACACAACATATTTAACAACTGCAGAATTAATTCCTCCACATACTGTAATGCGTCTTCAGTAGACGAAAGTTTAGGATGGACTTGCACCTGAACCTATAGGAAACAGAAGAACACAAGCTTTGAGTTTCACTCTGCCACAAACCACAGGCTTTACTTGCAAAAAAAGAGGACCAGAGAATGAGCCAAACTGCTCAGAACAACCCAACCCCAAATGTAGCTCTATTAAGGCACACTGGACAAACATGAGTGAAACACTCACAGCTGACAGAAACACAAATCTCAAATGTTAAATATACTCGAATCACTGGAAGTGACGTTTAATGTCAAGAAAACAGTTAATTAATAATGATGCTTTGCAGTGCAATTAGGAAAACTATTTAAAAACCCTGCATATATTTATCTTTCTCCCCTGGCTCTTAAACCACTTGTACAAGACATTTTAGACATGGGGTTTTCTCTTTTACAATTCATTGTTCACCACTTAATCTACAATAATGAAATACAGAATTTTTTTCACAGAGAGACCACTACAGAAGCAGCAATGATTTCAACAGTATTTTTAGCCTTCGAATTATTTATTCCATTCTCAGTTAGCTCTTAGTAAAATAAGATTGGTTTAGAAGTTCTTTTCCATACTGATTTTTAAAAAGATGTCAGCCTCTAGAGTAAAAAACACTTCAAAAAAGGCAACAGTATTGTCCTGGCATTGAGTGGCAGTTCAGAGGTTTTGAAAATTTGGCCACCATACATTTACTTGCATGTCATAAGTGTCTGTAAATTCTCACTGGTGTCAATCCACTGAGGCACGATCCTCCTTGCTCCTCCCATTGTTTTTCCAGACAGTCATTTTAACTTGGGAAATAAACCTCCAGTACAGCTTTCCTTTGCACTTCTGCGGTTCACAAAACAGCACAGTTTTAACGAGTTTAAATGTCAGGAACGCGAAGCTCAATGCTTCAGAGCTTAAACACAGGCAGTTTAACCTCTGTTCTACACTGATGACAAATACTATGCCAGAGCAAGCTGACTAACTTTCACAATGCATCTCTCAGGCCCCAATTTCATCATTTTACCATTCCACTCCATACAACTCAAAATGCCTCCAGTTTTCTCCACCACTAACAGAAGAGCCTAACCACCTTAAACCAAAACCCAACAATCTGTCTCCAAACATTTACTCACGTCTATACTCACATAATGGTGCCATAATTATTTGACACCGAAGTTTTCA